CAGGTAAGATTCCAATTCTTTAGGCTATACAGGATTCGGGTTGGAAGCTGTTGCTGTTTCCTGTGGCTGCTGGTAGTGAGACTTGCGGGTGGGTCCGCAACAGGGACACTACGAGGTTGAGGGAGGTGGCTTTTGGCCACACGAGTAAAGGCAAGGGATAACACTGTTGAACTTATTTGAACTGTGATGCATGCACTGTATTTACACTGAAATGTTATTGTCTTAATTGTCTGTCACACAGATTCCTGTGTTTACTTCTATCTTACTCACTGTACTATTTACACTTTCCCCTCCTATTTCTCTTTCTCTTTGTTGAGAGAAGTGATTGGTCACACACTTCTCGCCACGCTCCAATCCGCGGCTACCACGGGTAGGCGGAATCAGTGACTAGTCTACGTTTTGGGAAGACGTACTTAAGAGCTTGCTCTTAAAGTAGCAGTCGAGCACGGTAGACGTTCTGTTCCTTTCTCTCTCTATATCTGGGACGCCTTGTATAGGGAGGATGGGACAGAAGTTAGATAAACCCAGTAAGGGTTGGTTAGCATGTGATCTAGTGGAAGACAGAGAAGGAGAAGAGATGGTTAAGAAAGTGAGTAAGATTGCTAAAGTATGTGGAATTACCGTACCTCTGTGCGGCAGATTGTAGCCAGAGAGCTGGCGTAAGTTACTGACAGAAGAAAGGGAAGCTGTCGGACCAAGATTTGGTTTGTACAGCAGAAGCCTGGTACCGAGTAGCAAGAGCTATTCAGCAAAAGGGATAGGTTGAGGAAGAAATTGATCACAAAGGTTTAAGATTGTTTGTGTATTATAATAATTGTGTTACTGGATGCTGATGGATCCCTATTCCCCCCCCCATCAGTCCTACAGATCTCGTCACCCTCATCCTCTCTCTGCAGCTCCCTGCACCTCCAGTCCGTTTCTCCCGTCAAAGATTTCTGGTTTCCAAACGTATAAGTCTCTGTCCTTCTGTCTTGTTACTTTACAGCACTCACATGGTTAATCTTCATGCCTGCAGTCTCTCCCTTTTTTGCACTGTCTAACTTTCTCCCCCCCTTTCCTCCCCGCTTGCCTGCATTTCTACTGATAAGAGTTAGAGACAGGATTTTTGCTGGAAAATATTCTAATTCAAAGGTTATATGGTGTTATAATTGTGTAATAATATTATTATTGTTGCCGTTTGCCGTTTATGCATATATATATGTATATATGGATTGTGTTTTGTGATAGGGTAGTGAGGATTGTGGGGGAGACACAAGAATGTAGCTCAGTGTTGATTTACGGAGGTAAGTGAATCTGATACAAGAATAGAGGAATATTTGGACGTGTTAAGTGTAAAGGCAAGCGTGATTTGTTGCAAAACTATGCAATGTGGATAGAGGGAATATGCAGAGTTAAGCTAGTATGTGAAGAGGAAAGTGATTAATGGTTTGAGGAAGATAAGGTTGAATTCCGCGAGTTTATCTTGCATCATTTTAAAGAACATGTTTCTAGAAACAGCTGTATGGGCTGTTAAATGCATAATGTTCTCAACTGTCTTATTTAACCTGCCAGGTCTGTTCATAGTTTAGTATTTCATTTTGCAGAACAGAATGTTGCTTCTCTGACTTATTTTAATAGTTATAATATAGTGTATTGTTGAAAGTGCGTCAACCACCACCCTAAAGATGGCGCCTAGTACAGACCTATCCACAGTCACGGTTGCTTCTAAAGTGACGTCACTTCCGCCCTTACCATGCCCACACCTCCTGTCTTCCTTTCCCACACATATCATGGACGTCACCCCTCTCACTTCCTCCCTTGCTGTCATTTCCTTCCCCGCCCCTGTCATGGCTGCCTCCATCATGAGGCCTACCCTATTATGTTGTTTTCCTTACACTCTACATATTATGAACAGAAACATTATAATTACTAAAACAATCATGCCATTTGTTTCCCTGTATCAGCAATTTGTCCGTGATATAAAAAAAAAAAGAAGGTTGCTAAAATGTAATTTGCAACTGTGGTGTGACCTACAAATGAGATCTGTTGGACACGAATATAAGAGCATAACAGCTGATTATCCAGCTTCATCTTGCAACAAGGGAAATAGCTAAATAATGCAAGTTATTTTAAACATTGTATCTTTACTTAATCGAATCTTGCTAGTTACAGATCGTTATGTTTACAGTAACATCCTTTACGTTAAATGATGGTTTAGCATTAGAAGGGTTTGTGACATGTTTATTAACCCAGCCACTACTGGTTATTCATTTTAGTTACAGGGTGGTATAATTGTTATAGTCTAATTGATATAAATGATAGTACCGCAATAGTTAATGTTTTATCCAAAGACATATAGGAACTTTACTTAACTTACTATTAACCATTATTTATAATGATAGACATGTTCAGACTGCAAAAAGCTATGGCTAATGACATACAAAAGGGGTTTGAGTCAGTAACACAGCCCATACTGAGGAGAGCAAACCCGCTGATGCTTAATGCCCCTGCCATGGCAGTGTCTTCAGGGGAACAAGGGGGGCCTCTAGCTACTGTAATTTTACCCATTGAGGGCCAGCCCACCACTTTCCTAGTTGACACAGGTGCAGCCCGAAGTGTTCTGAGAGAACAAGACCTGCCCGATGCCTCATTTCTTTCCAATATTGATGTCTCCTGTGTTGGGGTGGACGGCCTTCCAAGGCAAAGTCCCCTGTCCACCCCACTGCGGGTTGGTAACTGCCACAACTTGCTTGCTCGCTTTGTGGTATCTTCCACATGCCCCATTAACCTGTTAGGAGCTGATGTTCTTTCACGCCTGCAGGCATCCATCACCTTTACTCCAGATGGACAAGTGGAACTATCCACCCCTCTATCTGTCTCAGACACCTCAGCTTTGTGCTCCTTACCCCTGATGCTACATCTAGAAGAGCCTCATGGGGATGCAAAAGACCTAAGGACTAATTTCCCTGATTCACTAAAGACTGATGTTCCCAAGAAGCTGTGGTCCACAGGCCCAGAGGACATAGGCCATCTAAAGGTCCCGCCTGTGGTGGTAAAGCTCATCCCAGGCGTAAAATTGCCACGAAAATCACAGTATCCTTTGAAACCAGCTCAAGCTGCAGCCATTACAATTCAAATTCAAGCACTCCTGGAGAAGGGTGCTCTTGTCAAATGTGAATCACCATGCAATACTCCATTATTTCCAGTAAAGAAAAAGACTCCAAAAGGCGAACCAGAAAAGTACAGATTGGTCCAAGACCTCAGAGCGGTAAATGAAGCCACAGTTTTGGACACTCCAATAGTGCCCAACCCACACACTCTCCTTTCCGGCGTTCCACCCTCTGCCAAGTACTTCACTGTAATTGATCTAGCCAATGCCTTCTTCAGTGTTCCCCTGGATCCAACTTGCCAATATCTGTTTGCTTTCACACATGACAAACAACAGTACACATGGACTGTCATGCCCCAAGGGGCACAAAATTCACCAAGTCAATTTGCGAAGGCCATGTGCTCTATCCTTGATCCATGGCAATCTGACCATCCTGAGGTCGTCCTGCTTCAATATGTGGATGATTTGCTGCTTTGTGGAGATGATATACCCACAACAGAACAATGCTCACTTAATCTTCTTTGCCACCTAGCAGAACAAGGATGTAAAGCTTCACGTCTCAAGCTGCAATTCTGCCAACCTACTGTTATTTTCCTTGGCCATTGTCTGTCTCAGGGAACCAGACATCTTACCCGTGACCGAGTTAGAGCGGTACTGGACATTCCACCTCCAAGGACCTCGAAGTCACTACACGCCTTCCTAGGCCTCATTTCCTATTGCCGAGCATGGATCCCAGAAGCCTCGCTCCTTATGCAACCTCTTTATGATGCTCTCAAGTCAGACCCATTTTGCTTGTCCACAGAAGCCCTTGACAACTTCTGTTCTCTCAAACGTGCTATTGCTTCTGCTCCTGCTCTTGGCCTACCAGACTATACCAAACCCTTCAAATTGTTTGTTTCTGAAAGACAAGGCCATGCAACAGGAGTACTCACTCAGGCTCATGGTCCTGGAGGCCGCCAAAGGCCTATTGGATTTTTCTCCTGCCAACTGGATATTGTGGCCAGAGGACGTCCCTCTTGCCTTCGGGCCGTCTTTGCTGCCAGAGAGCTCATTGAAAGAACTGGAGATCTTGTCCTTGGCCACCCCCTGGTTGTCTTGGCCCCTCATGACATTTCTGCCATAGTCAACCAGGTCCAACTTAAGCATGTTACTCCTGCTAGGCATCTTCGCCTTCAATGTCATCTTTTGTTGCCTGACAACATTACCCTCCAAAGATGTCAAGTTCTCAATCCGTCCACTCTTCTGCCACTCCCTGAGGGGGGTGTATACTACGGATTCATCATGGACAAAACTTATGTTTTTCTTCTCACTGGCACCATCAAGAAGGAAATGCATCCCAACCTATCCTTTCATGATGGACAAGCACTCCTTCATGACGGAGCAGGATATGCCTTCTGTACCATGTGGTACAAATTAAACATCACTCCTGAACCCTGCTATGAAGATGAACTCTATCATCTGGTCGAAGTAAAACTCACTGCACAAGACTTCTACTGTGATTCTGAAGGCAACAGTATGGTCTTGATTCATCTACCTCCGGAACTCAAGCATTTGTACCGTCATTGGGACACTGCCATTCCACATGTCCCTGTGACCAAGTTGAAAACAATATCATGGAATGATCTTGGGCCTATGGCAAAAGCATGGGCCACTATGGACGAATCACAGCTACAGGAAAATGGTGTTGTCAAATATCCAACAACTGACCCTAAAAGCATGGCCACGTCATTTCCTGGAAAATAAGTTCCAAGATTTAACCATAGTGAATGAATACGACCCAGATACACCTCATGACTGTTTTGAACAGATGAAAATGGAAACAACACATCTACCAACTGTGCATGAAGACCCATTGGTAGATCCCGATCTCACCCTGTTTGTGGACGGCTCAAGATATGCTGATGAAGAAGGAAGATACCATACAGGATATGCCGTAACCACAACAGATGAAATTGTCAAATCATCATCTTTACCATCAACTATGTCTGCACAAGAAGCTGAATTGCAAGCCCTGACTTCAGCATGCAAGATCTCTGAAGGAAAGCGCGCCAATATCTACACGGATTCAAGATATGCACTGGGCGTGGCTCACGACTTCGGATTAATTTGGAAAACAAGAGGATTTCTTACCACCGCCGGTACACCAGTCAAGCACGGTTCCGCAATCAAGGAGCTGATGGACGCCCTCCTACTCCCAGAAGAAGTGGCTATTTTAAAGATAAAAGCACATGGGAAGTTGGACTCAGATGAAGCAAAGGGCAACCATCTAGCTGATCAGGCTGCAAAACAAGCTGCAAAAGAACCACAGGAAGTGGAAAGAAGAGTGTCCGGAAATGAAGAAACTCCCATATTTACTCTGCAGACTCTTCCAACTGACCTGAAAATCCTGCTGGAACAACAGGCTACAGTTGCCCCTGAAGAAATACAGAAGTGGAAACAGAAAGGGGCAGTTCTGAAGGATGGAGTGTCAATTTCTGCCTCCCTAAGAATTTGTACCCAGCAGTCGTACAATGGGCACACGGACCTGCACATTTATCAAAGGATCTAATGAATGCTCTTGTACAAAATGCTACCTCACTGTCCCCATATGAGATTCTATTTGGGACTGCACCTAGGCTAGGTTGCTATTTTCCCCAACAACTACAACTTCAAACTGATGTTTTAGTAGATTATGTAACTGAACTCGCAAATGCTTTGAACAAAATCCATGCCCAAGTTTTCTCTTCAATTCCAGATCCTGATTCTGACACAGGCAACCACAGTCTGCTCCCCGGTGACTGGGTTCTGGTCAAGAAATTTGTGCGAAAACACACCCTGGAACCAAGATTTGACGGACCGTTCCAAGTTCTCCTGATCTCCCCTACCTCTGTCAAATTGGCCGGAAGGCCTAACTGGATCCACGCTTCCCACTGCAAGAAGACACCTGCCCCAGAGGAAGCTAACTCTATGCAACCATGTGCCTCTGGTACATTATCTCCTTAGTTGGCCTCCTTAAAGCCCAGCAGGTGGCCATCACCAAAGATGCTAGTGGGTACACCTTCTGGTATAATTCATCATGTACCCATGTGGCTACATTCACTTTTGATTACTGTGATATTGTAGAGTGCCCATTCCCTAAGTCACAGATTCAAGCCATTTATAAAGATATACCACAAGCAAAAGACCCTTACGTTTGTGTAGTAGATGAACAATGGGGTTATGACTGTAACTACTGGGGGCTGCGGGATGGAATACTGGGCCTGCCTGGGGTTATAAACCCAAAAGTGCTTTATCTAAGATAGACAATCAGGGTAGATCCCTCCTTCAAAGAATGACTTTAAGAAAGCCTGGAGGAAGTACCCCTATGAAATTAATGTTAAATATTGAACATCCTGGCCCCGAGGATGCAGACCGATATGTAATGGGAATGTATTGGAAGAAAGGTTCCTAAAACAAATTAGGTCATTTCTACCTCAGAGATATGTCCCACTCTCCAGAGTGGCAAGGGGCTGATCATATGGTCCCAAATCCGCTAAAACCACATATCCAGTCCTTTAAAGATATGATGGCCATCGCTAACCCCACTTTTGAAGATACCATGGCCGCTGAAACTGGATTCAATGACATTAATTTGTGGTTAGAATGGATGAGGTATAATGCCAACAAACATAATAAAACAGCATGTTATGTATGTGGCGGTGCCCGACCCCACCTTGGCACCGTCCCCCTAACTCTCCCTTTAGAGATAGAAGATTGCTTCTTAAGCCTTTTTGCCTACCAATATGACTTTAATAGGTCCCTCTGCATGGCATGGACGGCAGAATACCCTCTCTTAGTTGAAAATGTTAAGCCACCAGATGGAGTCACAGTCTATAGAGGTAATTACACTTGTTATGCCATGTATGACGGGATTGGTAAATTCATGGGTAACTTTTCTAAAGGTTATTGCGCCACTTACAGAACTGTTCCTATACGCCTGTTGCAACACCATACCAGGTCATTGGGGGATATTTACTGGTTATGTGGGGATCTACAGTTAAGATCTAGGCTGGAAACTGAGTGGTGGGGTGAGTGTACCCTGGCCAAAGTTATCATGCCCATTCATATTATTTCTGATAATCATCATGACACATACGACCCTCCACATACATCAGCCAGAGTAAGGCGCGAAACCCCAGTAAAAGGCAGTTTTGACCCCCACATTTACATAGATGCCATTGGGGTGCCTAGGGGGGTACCTAATGAATTTAAAGCTAGAGGTGAAGTAGCTGTAGGTTTTGAATCACTTTTTACCATAGTCACTGCCAACAAAAACCTTAATTGGATTAATTATATCTATTACAACCAACAGCGCTTCGTGAACTACACCAGGGATGCCCTCCAGGGCTTGGCCGAGCAATTACAGGCCACATCCCAAATGACCTTCCAGAACAGACTGGCCTTAGACATGATCTTAGCCGAAAAAGGGGAGTCTGTAAAATACTTCCCGACACTATGACTTGTTGCACTTACATTCCAGAAAACACAGGTCCTAATGGTAAAGTCACTCTAGCCATAGCTAAATTAAATAGACTCTCAGAGGAGTTAAAGAGAAACTCTGGAGTTACTGATCCCTGGGAAAAATGGTTTGGTTGGATGACTGGTTGGCAGAGAGCTTTAGTCCAGATTGGTATTGCCTTACTAATTTTTCTTTTTATTCTCGCTCTTCTCATTTGTTGTGTCCTCCCATGCCTAAGGAAATTCCTGCAGAAAACTGTAGACCAAGCAACACCAACCTTCACTCATCTGACAATCGATGATCAAGACCTCATCTCACCCTGTATTCCGCTACAAACTCTCCCTTATACTGATGAAGTGCAGAAAGTCTAGGAAGGGACAGTACAGGGACAGCGTCCGTCTTTATGGGTAGACTGCCGTACGGAGAAGTAGTGGATAAGCCACTATGGGTTACCAGCGGAGTGAAGAGTGTTCCTGAACCGTACTGACGGATGTGCTGCAGCCTGTTAGGGTCAAGAGAGGGATAGACTTGCACTTTGCATTAACACTAAGTCAGCGGTCATGGGGTTTCTGTGTCTTTGGGCTAATACTTCTTCTGATACTAACAAATAAAGTTTTGTCTTTTAGCAAATAACATTTTAGGGGGGACTGTTGTAGAATTATTAGGCCTCTATAAATTTGTAAGGCCCCTTTAAATCCTCTTGCTATACCTCTAAGAGGCCCCCATAGTTTTACAAGGAAGCTTTGTCTATAGAACATAGAATTTGCATGTCAGCAAGAAATAGCTTTGATAAAATGTGTATTTACTAAAATCCTTGAAACTTAACCTTGAGAAACTAACAAGTGCCAGCTACGCTCCAAATGGATAGCTGCCAAAAGGCCCCTCCCGTCGAGTGAGCTCCTCATTTTAACAAGATGGCGCTAAAACCTGTAGGAGTTAAGAAATTACGTAGATAGTGACCTAAGAATGGGGAGGGCATTTTACTAACATCTTAGCACCTAAGCCAATTAACAATGTCTATTTGTCTATATCTTGATTTTCTTCAATGATGTAATAATGCCTTTATAAGGGTCTGCGCACCCATTTTCTGTCAGAAGCCATTAAACTTCTCTGAAGTTCTTTCATTACCCTGAACCTTGTGTCTCAGTGTGAATTTACTTCTGCGTGCACGCAACTTTATTATCTTTAATTTGGACAGGAACAGATAGTCATTCAAACTAATTGGTTTGCAGTAAATTATCTAGAACACAAGGAGCTCCGTTACAGATGCCCTTTTTTCAAGGATCGCTTTCTTATTAATCTGGGTATCCATTAGAAGTTCCTCCAGGGTCTGGGATGTCGCATTGAAACCGTTTTGGTGAGGGAACAGGCCAGGGCATCAATTACTCGGTTATTATACAGTGCTAAGCCTGGGACTCCTAACATTTAATAGGCTTTGTTACAGGTTATATTCAAGAGGAAACAGGGGTGGTCTTATAAACATTATCCAATAATAACATCATTCATCAAACTTATTTCAACATATCTTATCCTACAGCTAGCTTGCAGGTGTAATGGGGGAGTACTCATTACAGTTTCAGTTTAACTACGCAGCTGAAATAAAAGGTTACTACGCACTCATAAAATAGAAATGTTACTACGCAGTTAGAATTACAGAAATAGAAAACAGAAAATAAGACCAACGCTCTGAGACAGGAAAGTTCATAGCTCTGTTTAGGGGTATTTTCACTAAGCATTGTATATAGACACTCCCACCTCCACCGGAGTCATCTCCTTTACCATACCAGAGACTTCAGTAGACTGCTCACCTACTGAAAGCGATAGGGAGAACCTGGCAGGCTTCATAAATTCCTTCCATATATGTTGTTGCTGAACCAGCCTTGCCACTGGGCATTGGAGAAGACTGATTGCCAGCCTCCTGACAGTTTTTTATTCAAAGATTACTTCCTTATTTTATTGTGTGACAGCTTTGTAACTTGTGCGCCAAAAACCGGATGGGTGAAGTCACACTATACCATAAAAGGAAATAACAGAACTAAGCATATTTCAAAGGTTATATATATATAAAAACATTAGGGCATCAAAAGGGGGGTTTAATGGGGGAAGCTGCAATCGCAGCAAAACATGAAAGCAGCAGAACATGTTAAAACAGACTGGACATCAGGTCATCTTAGTAGCTTGAGCCTGGGGTCAAGGTACCTTCAATTACAATTCCATTACACATGTGATATAATTATGCTTAGTCTGCAAATGGACATGATTAATGGCAGGTATGCTCATGCACAGCTCCAGCCCTCATTGGCTAATACGGGTACAAACCTCTCTCTAATCTCATTTTAAAAAAGCAGGTTGATGCCTCAGATGGAGGCGCTTTAGCAGCACCGAAACGCGCGTCAGGCTTACTCTATTTTTATTTTAAACTCACAGCATGATTTTTGTTACCACTATGGATAGCTGGTGAAAGTTTTGGTAGAAATTTCTAGAGGGGTAACTCTCCTAAATGGGGTCTGTTATTAGGACAATTGTTTAATTAGCATGGAAGGTTTGCCTTTTGTTTAAAGCATTTTTGCTTCCTTTTACGTTTAGCCCTCTTTGCATATTTTTTTCAGACAGCGACCTTGAAGTCGACTAAATGTTTAGCAAGTTTAATGAAGGCTCAACTACAAACTCTCTTAAGAGACAGTATCCTTTGGCAAGTTTTTGGTTATATAATTTTTGCAACATGGTATATATTCCCTTGAGGCATTATCTTACAGGTATTATACTGCTTAGCAACTAAGCTATTGCGTTCAACCTCTCTGTAAGTATATTTTTTCTACCCACCACAACTACCTGATAACAGACGGATTTATACTTGTCTCTGTTTTACAACCAACCTAGCCTTTTGCCTTCAATACAATATTATTTTTTCAGACGGCGACCTTGAAGTCGATTCAGTGTTTAGTAAGTCCAATGTCTTTTGTAATTGTCTTTCTTGTAGGTTCCCCTCATTTTGTCTGGATTCTGGGTCACTCATATATATATTGGGCAGCATGCAGAGCTGAGTAAAGGTCCTACGGGAGGAACTTAGGCTTTCCCTTTGAAGTGGCCAGGGTTCGGTGGCGAGGTGTTCGTGCTCTCTCCTGGGGCCAGTTTTTAACAGAATGTGTTCAGTTACAGAGGTTTGTTTCTGGGCCTATTACGTCAATAGTTCACGCGAAAATTGAACATGACGGTTGCCAGGTTTGTTCGAAGTCTCGGGGCATAGTGGTTCGCCACGTGGAGCTGGAAAGGAATAACAGGAACTTGATGCGGAGGGATGGTGTCCACCTAACTAGCATTGGGCTTGATATTTTTAATTTGGGACTTCAGTCTGGAGTGGAGGTGGGTGTGATGCCGACAGGAGGAACTGGACAGGGTCAACATCACGGTGGCGGTGTTCATGGCCAGTGCATTGGTAATTGAAAGAAATTGATGAGTCAACTTGGGGAGTCGCAGCCTGCCGAGGGCTGATGGTGGTAGGCAGGCTGATATGAACTCATGGACAAAGAAGTGGTATCTGCCTGTTGGTAGAAGTCTCTCAACAGCTGGCAGTTGGATGGAAAGCTGGTCTGTGTTAAAATTAATAAAGCTGTGGCCGTTGCCCTTACCCATAACTATTGTGTGGTGTTATTATTTACGTAGGGCAATGGGAGGTGGTTTTTTTTGGGATCAGCAGTCATGTGTTTTATACCCCACCTCCTATAGACAGTAAGCTTGTTTGAGCAGGGTCCTCTTTAACCTATCCTTCGTGTAAATGTTTGTAATTGTTTCATTAATTGTTAAATCTCCCTCACTTATAATATTGTTAAGCACTACGGAATATGCTGGTGCTATATAAATGGCAATAATAATAAATAGCCATGAGGATAGTGCTTGTTTCCGGTCTCCTTCTCCAGCCCCTCGCAGCAGGACCCGCAGTCCAACCTCCCGGGCCGATGTGAATTATGAGTAAAACACGCCCAGGCGTCTGTGTCTGGGAGATAATTGAGTGTACTTTACTTAAACTAATTATCTCCCATGCACTAGAGGTACAATGAGTAAAACATAAAACACCCCAAAACATACATAATATTCATAGGGACCCCCCGCAAGTCTTATATCCCCAAATAACATGGATCTGAGCGCCCAAAGTGTCCAAATAGCGCTCAGATCCCACGAATACAGCCGAACCACCACCGGGGTAAAGTTTTAACCAATCGCACACGTGGTGTCTGCACAAAATAGTTCCAGAAGAAAAGTGGTAGCGGTCGGTCACTTTCAGGAGTCCCAAAACGAAAGAAATACTGAGCAGTTCCCCTGGCTCATAAGTAGCATTGGTTCATCTAGTTTGTGCGTACCTTTTAACCAAATAGCACTCTCCTGTCTTGTCGGGAATAGAAGCAGGCGGCTGTACAAAGATTCTGGTGTTAGAGAGCCTGGCTTGGAGTTCCAGACACTCGACGACCAAGTACCGCTGCCTGCTTTCAGGAGACAAGATGGCCACCGTTTTCCAGCGCACAAGTTCTACGTTTATATGAACAACGCGTTTCTCCCCTTAGGGCTTTCTCAAGTGAATTAGAAAAGGTTTTTTAACCACTTGAGAAAGCCCTAAGGGGAGAAACGCATTGTGGAAATTTTAACTAACTATTTAAAAAAAGGTATTTTGGCCACTTTCTTTGTTGTCAGTTAGCCATTTTATCTTTTTTACCATTTTTTTTATTTTACTACCTGAGTAGTAGCATCTGAGTTTTACTTGTTCCAGAGAGATACTATTCCAAAGCATCCTTGGTGGGGATTATACCACTTACGCCGTATAATTGAGCAGTGCGTCTGCCCAATTAAATGTGAGTAACCATTTGGTATTTTTATAAAAGAAGGTAGAGGAAGAGAGATGAAGAAGCGAAAAAGAAGGGGGGAGGGGGGTAGCAGGGATCAGGGATAGGTGGGAATTCCTCAGGTGTGGGGTGAACAACATGCATCCGCAGTAATATTTCGCATAATTGTAATGACATCCATGCTTAGCTCCTTTTTGACAGTGTCATGAAAGGGAAGGAGCATAGTCATTTTCACATAAAGCCAGGGTGAATAGCGTTTTCACAACTATGGTGTCAGGAATATATGTTTGTATTCCTGACACTATAGTGTTCCTTTAAGCAAATTAAAGGAACATTCTGGTCACCATAACAACTTCAACTAAATGAAAATGCTATGATGCAAGGAGGCCCCTGGGTGCTCTCTTTCCTTTAAGGGGTGAAACCGCTCTCAAATGGTTTAACCGCAAAGGCTTCCTCCTGCTCCAGATCTCCAGGTCGCTCAGTGGTATTCAGCTTCTTAAACGGAGTGTCAGGAAGTGCAGATTGACGTCAGGCATAGATGCCGCTGATTGGCTAGAGTGGTCAGCTGACGCTCTAAGCCAATCGCTAGTTCCCTATTCATAAAAATGTTTTACGTTTTCATGAATGGGGAGCTACTGATTGGCTTAGAGTGCCAATGAACACATTAACACTAATATTTTTTTTTAAAACCTGGGGAGATGAGAAGGTCCAAAGTTTCCCTGCCAGGCCCAGGTACCAAAGCCTTATGATGTGGTGTCCAGAATGAAGTGCTCCAATCTCATTTTCTTCTCCTTCATTTGACACAGTCTTCTTTTTCTTCTGAGGCTCCTTCTGCAGAGGCGGCTCTAGACTTTATGAGGTCTTAGGCGAAACTCAAACATGAGGCCCCACTAACAAAAAAGTAAAAAAAATAGAGTTGCAATACATGTACAGTTTACCTGTGTATGTGCCTGAGAGTGTGTCTGACAGAGAGTATCTGTGTGTGTGTGAATGTATGTCTCTGTGAGCATGTTTGCGTTTTTGTCTGGTACCCTATGTGTATGGGGTAGCTGCTTGAAGAAGGGGGTGATGGTGAGAGGTAGAGGCGGGTGATGATGAGAGGGAGAGGCGGGTGATGGTTAGAGGCGGTGATGGTGAGAGGGGGTGATGGTGGGGGAGTGATGGTGAGGGGGCATAATTGAGGGATGGGGTGATGGTGACGGAGGGGGTAATGTTGCTGAGGGAGGGGGTGATGGGGTAATGCTGTGGGTGATGAGGGGGGGGTGATGCTGAGGGAGGGAGTGATGGTGAGGGTGGGGTAATGCTGAGGGTGGTGATGCTGAGGGAGGCACGCCAGGGGTGGTCAGGGGTGATGCTGAGTGAAGGGGTGATGTGAGGGGGGGTGATGTGCTGAGGGTGGTGGCCACCGCTTTCCAGATGTGCTTAGGGTGGTGGAGGGGCAAGTGATAGTGAGGAGGGTGATGCTGAGAGTGGTGAGGGGGGTGATGCTGAGGAGTGGTGAGGGGGGGTGTGGATAGTGAGCAGGGTGATGCTGAGAGGTGAGGGGGGTGATAGTGAGGGGGGGTGATGCTGAGTGGTAGGGGTGATAGTGAGGGTGGGTAATGCGGAGGGTGGTGAGGGGGGTAATAGTGAGGGGGTGATGCTGAGGGTGGTGAGGGGGGTGATGCTGAGGGTGGTGAGGGGGTGATTGTGAGGGGGGTTAATGCTGAGGGTGGTGAGGGGGTGTTAGTGAGGGGGGTAATGCTGAGTGTGGTGAGGGGGGTAATAGTGAGGGGGTAATGCTGAGAGTGGTGAGGGGGTGATAGTGAGGGGGTGTGATGCTGAGTGGGTAATAGTGAGGGGGTGGTGGTGGTGAGGGGGTGATGCTGAGGGTGGT